AGAAAGAAAGAAAGAAAGAAAGAAAGAAAGAAAAGTTTTAAAAAATGAAGGAAGAGAGAGAAGAAAAAAGAGACATCATTCTGGATGAAATTTAGAAAAATAAATAAAACAAAAGAGTTTCGAAAAGAAAGAAAGAAAGAAAGAAAGAAAGAAAGAAAGAAAGAAATTTTAAAAATTGAAGGAAGAGAGAGAAGGAAAAAGAGACATTATTCCGAATTAAATATAGGGAAATTAATGAAAATAAATATGTACAATAAGAAGAAAGAAAGAAAGTAAGAAAGAAAGAAAAATATAAACAGATTTCTTAATTTGAAGAAAGAATGAGATGAAAAAAGATTGAAAGAAAATAGTTATCTTTAAAATAGAAAAATGGAAATGAAGTCTTCAAAAATTCAAGGACGAGTTTACAACCGAAAGTAAATTAATTCGAAAGAAATTTCAAAGAATAATAAATTCAGAGAGAAATAAAGAAAGAAAGAAAAAAGGAAAGAAAAGTTAGGAAAAATACGAAGAAAGAAGTACTACAAGAAGGAAGGAAATGTTATTTAGATTTATCTGCATTCAAGGAAGAGAGGGGAGAAAAATGGTGCCGAATGAATTGAAGGAAATTAAATAAAAACAAAGAGAGGGAAAAGAAGTAGAAAGAGAGCAAAACGAAAAGGAATAAGCGATGAGAAAAGAGTTGGAAAATAAAAATAAAGAGTGTGAAGGAAAAAAGAAAAATAATTGAGAAAAGAAGAGGAGGGTAAGTAAAGAAAATAACAAAGGAAAAATAATATATTAATGAGGAATGAATACAAGAAAGGAAAGAAAAATGAATAAAAGGACAGAGATTCAAAATAGCAGAAAGAAAAAAATACTTTTTCTGAACAGAAAGAAAAGAAGAAAAATAAATAAAACGAAAGTCGTTTAAAAGAGAAATGAAAGAAAACAAGAAACGAAGGAAAACTTTCAGAAAAGAGAAAAAACGAAAATGTTTAAGAAAAAATATAAAAATAATCAACAATTCCAGAAAAAGAAATAATGAAAGAAAAAAACATAAAAATGGAAAAAAAGAATGAAAAATGTTAAAAAATAAAAAGGGGGAAGGAAAGAAAAAATGTTTAAATTAAAAAGAAGGAAAGAAAGAAATATAGAAATATATTAAAAATATAAGGAAGGAAAGAAAGTAATAAAAAGTTTAAGATAAAGGAAGGAAAGAAAGAAAAATGTTAACAACAAAAAGAAGGAAAGAAAGAAAAATATTAAAAATAAAAAAAGGAAAGAAAGAATTTTTTTAAAAATAAAAAGAGAAAAATGTTAAAATTAAAAAGATGGAAAAAAGTACGGAAAATGCTTAAAATGAACGAAGTAAAGAAAGAAAAATGTTAAAAATAAAAAGTAGGAAAAGAAGAAAAATATTAAAAATAAAAAGAAGGAAAGAAAGAAAAATATTAAAAATAAAATGAAATCAATGAGAGAAAGAAACATATTAACCTTTAGTAAAAATATTAAAAAAAAGAAAAATGTTAAAAATACAAATAATAAAGAATGAAAAATGTTAAATACAAAAATAAAGGTAGAATGAATAAAAAATGTTAAAAACAAAAAGAAAGAAAGAAAGAAAGAATGAAAAATGTCAAAAACAAAAAGAAAGAAAGAAAGAATGAAAAATGTTAAAAACAAAAAGAAAGAAAGAAAGAAAGAATTAAAAATGTCAAAAACAAAAAGAAAGAAAGAAAGAAAGAAAGAATGAAAAATGTTAAAAACAAAAAGAAAGAAAGAAAGAAAGAATGAAAAATGTTAAAAACAAAAAGAAAGAAAGAAAGAAAGAATGAAAAATGTTAAAAACAAAAAGAAAGAAAGAAAGAAAGAAAGAATGAAAAATGTTAAAAACAAAACGAAAGAAAGAATGAAAAATGTCAAAAACAAAAAGAAAGAAAGAAAGAATGAAAAATGTTAAAAACAAAAAGAAAGAAATGAAAAATGTTAAAAACAAAAAGAAAGAAAGAAAGAAAGAATGAAAAATGTTAAAAACAAAAAGAAAGAAAGAATGAAATAATGAAAAATGTTAAAAACAAAAAGAAAGAAAGAAAGAATGAATGAAAAATGTTAAAAACAAAAAGAAAGAAAGGAATATGTTAAAAATACAAATAAAGAAAGAATGAAAAATATTAAAATTATAAAGAAAGAAACAAAGAAAAATGTTTCAAAAGAAAGAAAGAAACAAAAATGTTAAAAAGAAAGAAACGAAAATGTTAAAAAGAAAGAAACGAAAATGCTAACACTAAAAAAGAAAAGTCGAATGGAAGTAAGGATAAAAAAGAAAAAAAAAAGAAAATAGAGAAAAAAAGTAAAGTAACACGTAAGCAGAGAGAGAGAGAGAGAAATAATTTGTTGAATAAGGAATGAAAGCGAGCAAGAAGCCAAGAATTCCGTCATGTGACAGAAACTAAGATCGACCGAAAATATTCGAAGCAGAAAATAAAGTTCGAAATGCTCCAAACTCTGTCGATGATAAATCGAAATTTATTCTCCGTCAGCAAAAACTATAAATAAAAACATGTTCACCTTTTTGTTGAGTTCAGGTGAAAATGTGCATTTACATTTAAGAAATGTCAGCGATGAACAAGCTTCTGCTTAAAAAGGTCATAGGAAAATATCGCCCAAACAGACAAATCTCGCGAGAGCACGTTGATTCTCGTCTGTCTCCATTTGCTTTTTTTTTTGTTTTGTTTTTTTAATGCCATGTCCCTTCAGGATGTACGTGATCACAGATCACCATATATTCCGTTTATTTTATTATCTGTGAATTGCTATGACTTCTTGGGAAAGAAGAAATAGTGGAGAGGTTTCCAGTTGCCATCTCCACGATTTTGATTCTCTCCTCTGAGATTGACTACCTCCCAAGGCGAAAGAGCTTAGCCTATCCTGTTACTTAGCGTATAGTTTATGGGATAATAAATTCGTGCTATTCACAATGACACTAGTGTGTCAGTGAATGCAATAGACTCGACTGAAATTTGAACTCGGATTGCCGATTCCAATTCTTGCACTGATATCTATGTAAGGTAGCCCTTATTCTTCTACATGCCTGCGGTTTCTAAATCCCAAGGTGGCATGTTTGGCTGCAACGTTTGGTTAGGGTTAGGATTAAGGGTTAAGTGTTAGGGTTATGGTTATCAAAAGAGTACTACTGTTTGCTCTAAATTTTTAACTATATACTATAAAATGACTTGGAGCTTATGGGTTAAAATGAACAGTTGATATATTAATGAAGGATGATAATAACGAGGAAACATACTGGTAATTTTAACAAAACAAGATAAGGAATTAATTTACGAATTTACACGCTTGAAATGTTAGTAACTCGTTTCATGAAAATATATTCATCGCAAAAAAAAATGAATTATTCTCACAATCCACTTTAGACTTTAAATAACCCAAAAAGTTTAAAAAAGAAAAACATATTCTCCCACCTGGTCAATCACGGGAGAATCTGACATTGTTTGAAGAAGATACATCTGGTTTCCTTGGACGTTTCCTAAATCAGGATGAGTGTTCATGCAGTAGAAACACCTCTGATCACCTGCTCTAAAAAAAGTCATGGTGGTTTCATCTGCAGGGAAGGTGATGGCCTCATATTTCGGGGATAACAAAAGCATTGTAGTTATGGACTTCAATAGGACTACAGCATCAATGGAGAGTACTTTGCCCAATTGCTGAGACTGTTACAAAAGGCTATCAAGACCAATTTCAATGCGGCTATTTAAGAAGTCAAATAGGCGTCATTTTCCATCACGACAACGCAAAACCTTATATTGTAAAACAGACCTTGTAGAAATTTAAAGACTTCAAATTGGAAGCCACGCCCAGTACCCAAGTATTTTAATGATTTCACACGTTTTCATTTGTTCCTCTCCCTACAGAACATTTTAAACGTACAGAAACTAATGATTTTAGCCAGTAAGTGAATTTAGCGCGACCGACAAGAATTCGAACACTACTGGCTATTTCATTCTAAGCTGCTATTTATTCCATCAAACGCCCATTCTATAGAGAATAGAAGCAACTATACCCCAATCTACAATGCGTGAGATAGGTTTGTCGCAGTGGAAAACTTAGAAATATAGTCGAACGTATCTATACCACTGGAATGGATTCGATCCCTTTGGAGATACGACGCCTGTGATCTTCTATCGGACTAAATTCAAGTTTAGACCAAGAAAATACCTGATGAAAAAAATATAAAATATATTTTTTTTATTATAAACCTTATTCTTGGTCTTAAATATTATACTCACAATGTTTCGGTCGTTGTCACTCTCGAACTTCTTCAGTATTCGATAACCTACTTGAAATTACGAACTGAACAATTCATCCAATTCGATGGTCGAGAGACATAAGACAAAGAAAAGGCTTTAAGGATTGAAGCCTTAATTAAAGCAAATATGATTCATTCGTGGTTACTAGTTCAATTCCTAGGGCAGGTACCACTGATGTTATATGTCCTGCTTCAGTAGAAGAAGCGAACATGCAAAACAAAGTTGAAAAAGACTGCTGAGTATTACAGTATTGCTGCTGCTTATAAGTGTCTATTACGCATTAGATGTTTTTCTTTGAAGTTGATGGATCTCCCCGATATCCCCAATTTTACCTACATTTATTTCAGCATGAAAACCTAACGAATCGTGAAGAATTCGTCAAAAACCATGAAGAATTACCATATTTGTCGGAATTATTTAGAATGTAATAATTAGAAGAGAGGTTAACTGCCATCACCAACCTTCGATTTATAAGATGTAGGATAGTTTTTGATGACATTTTATAGTAAAAACAAATGCATCTCGTAAGCAGCAATATACGGTGAGATGAAACAATCCTCTTGGCATAGTTCAGTGTTCATTTCCCGTGTCCGGCAGGGCGGTAAAGTCATATAATCTGGTTCAGTGGAAGAAACGGACAAGTGACACAGCTGTGAATAAGACTGGGGTGTATTAACTGATATGAGTTACCTCTCCTAAGCATGCTTTCCTGGAAGTTGTGAGCTCAATCTCTGGCTCTGTGAATTGAATAAAGGTTTGCGTTGAAATTTTCAAGAATGCAATCTCTACCTGAAGAAAGTGAGAGATTTCAACGACCGAAACATCCAAATCGGAACAAGATTGCAAGACGCCGACGCAATCCAAGAGAATGCAGCTAGATAACTGCTCACTATCCTAAAAGGAAGCGTTCCAGGAATGCATCCAGCAATGAAAATGACGGTGGATAAAGTTTATGGCTTCAGAATGGGACTACTTCGAAGATTATTAGGCGCCGACTTGATATATGTTGTAGTTTTATTTTTATAATACGTGACTCAGTACTTTTTGATCATCCATTGTTTACACAAACAAACACACACATATACATATGTACATATACATATATATACATATATATATTCATATATATCAATTATGTGGTGCAGTTCAATTTACATTACATGAATGTTTTTTGTATGAATGATTCGTGTAATATATATATATATATAGAAACGCTTAATATATAATATTAAGCGTTTCACCCCAAGCAAGGCGGAAAGCCACTATGACGCAAGGGGTTACAGAAGATTTGGAGCAAGATCAGATAGGAGTGACAGATGAATGGATAAGGAGAAGGATAATGGATAGAACAAGACAACTGTAGATATATATATATATATATATATATATATATATATATATATATATATATATATATATATATATGGGCGCGTATGGGCGTGAGTGGTTAGAAAGTTCGCTTTCTGACTTTGAGATTCTGGTTGGAATCACACCATATTCGATTTGTCAGGAAGGAGACATTCTGATATTATCGGAATGGATCGAGGCCTGAAATTGTTGCCCCTTGTGAATGAAATTGGGTACATTTTAAGTTCTATCGATATCTGTGCTAGCACAAAGCCACAAGCGTTTTGACTGTTACATTCGTTGATCAAGCTAGATAACACGCCCTCTCTGAGGTCTGCTCAGCAAGGTTGGTGTATAAACCACAGGTGAGCTCTGTGGGTCTCTGCAATAGGGATTGGCAAGCCGCCCTAGTAGACGTGTATCCTCGACTACGATATATATATATATATATATATATATATATATATATATATATGCAAATGTAAACAGCTAAATTATTCAAATCATGTAACAGCGTGCGATAATTGTCCACACCACAAAAAGTTTAATATCTAAAAAGCACTAAACTTATCGGGTTGCTTTTTTTCTTGGCTTTCAAATAAGACGTTTAGGTATCTTGATACCACTGAAAAATTCTTTGAGCTATTCAGCTAGAAAGAGAACACGATTAAATCGTTTTGTGTCAGCCCCACTCTCTTCTCAACTGACCAATGGTGAGACGAAAAACGTCATTCAGGTCTTCAGTAATGGCACCAAGATTCATGCTCTGGCTTCCATCTTTAATGTCCATTCAAGAACCATCAAGAGAACGGTGAATAAGTTTAAAAATGAGGGAACAGTAGAGAGGAAAACTAGATCAGGTGGTCACAACATTAATGGGAATCATGGTTTCCACTTAGAGCTAAAGATATCAATTAGTAATGATCCAAATCAATCCACAAGGCGTTTGGCACGTGAGAGATTAGTTTCACCTATTATATTCCAAAGAGATAAAAAGATTTGAAAATGAAATACTATGTGATACATGTGAAGCACCTTGTTACTCCAGGGCAGAAAGTTAGATGGTTAGAGAGGGCAAAGATCATCCTGAATAAGTTCGGAAATGATCCTGGAACAATATATATATATATATATATATATATATTAAGTTTCCTTTTCAATCCTTCATATGCATCCGATCCTTAGCAATGATTAATTAATGATGAACATGTCATTTTCGTTTATGATGGATTTCTTTACGATTCTTCTGTTAAGCTTGGAAAGTAATTATACATTCTTATTGCTCAAAGTAGAGTCCAATAGTGTTATAAACACTTCGGAGTATTCCAGCAAGAAATCTTTAATCATTTCTAAGATACAACATTTCAAAGCTTAATCTAACAATTTTTGCAGTTACACGATTTGGACAATTTTGCTGTTACACCTGGTATATATATATATATATATATATATATATATATATATATATATATATAATATAAACTAATTGATTTAAAATATGTTTTTTCACTACACAGTTCTAACCATGTTTCAAAAATGGTTAGAACTGTGTATCAGAAAAAAAAAATATTTTAAATCAATTAATTATAATATTAATGCTCTGTAAATTTACATCGAGCACTATTTTGTAAAAATAAAAATATCTATGAGAACACCGGATTATATATCTTACTGTTCTTTCTTTTTATTTATATACATATATATATATATATATATATAGAGAGAGAGAGAGAGACAGAGACAGAGAGAGAGAGAGAGACAGAGACAGAGAGACAGAGAGAGACAGAGAGAGAGACAGACAGACAGACAGAGACAGACAAACAGACAGACAGAGAGGAAGTGTTGACATTTAAAAGAAATAGTAAAATAGTGAATAGGTTGTTGACTTTTAACTTATGAACTTGATCTAGCCAGCATATGAATTAATATAGAAAATTTATCGGAATTTAATTTTCGTTTAGCAGAAATAGACATTAGGACTCAGCCTATTGAGTCATTCTATCAATTTCTTCGTGCTATCTACTCGTGTTCACTTGCGATCCGGGCTTTTGTAAGATTGTTGAACGGCTCTGAAATCTTTACGATGTTGCAAACGTGTCTACATTTAATTTTGCGTGAAACTTGGCAAATGGAATAGCGAGACCCTCAGAATGCTTCGTCAGGCTTTTGGCTATTATTCGTCACGTTGTACCCGAATTTGTAAATGAAAATGATGCGGGTTTTTTTTCTAATGTGGTGTCTTGTCGCCTTGAGGTGATGGCTGTTCAGGGGCCTCTATCACCGGCAAAACGCCTTTAAGTTAGGGAGTAAATTCTCGAACTCATCCCCGATCAGGTTTATCACGTTAGCATATGATTGACACCAATTTATAAAACCAGCGAAAAAAAAAAACACTATCCAAGATCAACTCGTATTGTTCAGTACAATCTCCATTATTAAGAGTATTTTGTTGTTAATAATACTGTTGCTGATAATGGTTAACTCCCATCACCAATCTTCGATTTATAAGATGGAACGTAGTTTTTGGTGACATTTTATAGCAAAATAATGCGTCTCATAAGCAGCAATATACGATAACTGAGATGACATATCCTCTAAGCATAGTTCCTTGACAGTTGCATGATCATTTCCTGTGTCTGGCAGGGCGGAAAAGTAATATAATCAGGTTCAGTTGAAGAAACGGACAAGTGACACAGCTGTGAATAAGACTGGTGTGTATTAACTTATATGAGTTATCTCCCCTAAGCATGCTTCCCTGGATGTTGTGAGATCAATCTCTGACTCTGTGATTTGAATAAAAGCTTGCGTTGAGATTTTCACGAATGCAATCTCTACCGGAAGAAAGTGCGAGATTTCAACGACTGAAACATCCAAATCGGAACTAGATTAAAAAAAAAACAAAAAAACGCTGATGCAATCCAAGATAAGGCAGAAAGATAGCTGCTCACTATCCTAAAAAGAGGAGGTCCTAGAATGAATCCATCAATGGAAATGACGCTGGATAAAGGTTTTGGCTTCAGAATAGGACTACTTCGAAGGATAGTAAGCACCGACTTGATATATGTTGTAGTTTTATTTTATAGCATATATATATATATATTTTTATTTTATATTATATATATATATATATATATATATATATATATATATATATATATATATATATATATATATATATATATATATATATATATATATATATATATATATATATATATATATATATATATATATATATATATATATATATATATATATATATATATATATATATTATATAGGAGAGAGAGAGGGGGAGAGAGAGAGGCAGGCGCGTGGCGAGTACTTAGAACATTCGCTTTCTGACCATGAGACCTGTGTTCGAATCTCACCATTGTCGATTTGCCAGGAAGGAGACTTCATGTTATCCAAATGGATCGAGGTCGATCCCAGTATGCGGCACCTTTTTGAAAGTGCCTGAAAACCATAACACGGTTTTATACCATACCACTTGTGATTTAAATTGGGTAGACGGAACTCTTGAGGGCCGTCGATAGTTGTGCTAGCACAAAGCTTCGACGTGACAGCTGCTCACTATCCTAAAATGTTTAAGTGCATTTTATTACTAGTAATACTGTCGCTGATAATGTTATACAGACGGCGCGAACACACGAGTTCGGAAACGGAAAGCTGCAATAGCAGAACATAACATTTACACCACATGTAGAAATCCTAATTGGGTCTTTGTTCGCGTAACGAAAGCCAATAAATAGTGTTTAAATGTAAGGGTTTCATTAACTTTTTCTATGTACCGTGTCTCTTCAGGATGCTGACAATCATGGTTCTCCACAACTTCCTGTCCTTTGTAGATCTTAATACATTTTTTATTTTTGCTATCTCTTCTAAAATTTGTTCCGCCATCTATTTACTCAAGCTCGTTAATTTGGCTACGCGCTGTTTTTCTGTCTCTCTTGTGAGTATCAAATTTTCCAAGCCGTCTTTCCTCATTATGTGCCTTAAAAATGTCAACTATCTCTACATGGTCTTTTGTATAAGTGATCTTTCCGATATCTATTTTCTCTAAAACTTCCTCGTTGTTCGCTTCTTTCGACTATAACATTCTCAGCATTCTTCTGTAGAATCACATAATTCGTATTTACTGCACCTACCGCCTCACCACTGTAGAGGCGTGCAGAAGAGTTAGTCATCGGATAAAGATCTATAAAGTCATGTTAACCACTATAAAGAAGAGGAAGTTGGCGGTAGTGTCACGTAAACAGAACGCGATAACTCTCCGAGATCATCGTACAAAAACGGTACAAGAGGAAGAAGATGACGCCAGAGAGGTTTGAATAACTACGATCAATGGACCTTCGAAAGTTTTACCCTGACACAGGCGCTGCCAAATTATCGGGTCAAGTATAGGCTTCTTGAACAAGCCACCTCGACGAACATGGCGGGTTACAGGACAGGCAGGGAGGAAAGAATTGACGGCAATGTCCAATGGAATTGAATAAATACTGATGGAATTGGTCAATTACGCAAAAGTGCTAGTCCAAGACGGCAGATTTGTTTTATCCTAATTTTCCAAAACCAAAGTTGATAAATGAAAAATGTTTCTTGTGTTCTCCTTATGTTTCATTCGTGAAAGGTTAGCGCAGTAAAATATTCATGATTCTGTTTGACACTGTCTTAATGTGTTAGGCTAATGTAAACAAATGTTTCTTCTTTTAATTCCGGGCGAACGAATGCGAAGCCGTATCAAGCAAATGCCTTCTGTAGAAAGAGCGTGACTTGAACTGTTTCACAATACGTAAAACCGTTGAGAGACGAAAAGAAAAGAACGCCAACACAAAAAAAAATGTAAACATCAAATCGCTTTCTGATAAGTAAAGAACGTACAAACTTTATAACGCTTTTCGTTCCAACTTCACAATGCTTGTTTCCTCGTGGTGAGAAGAGTGAATTGAATCATTCATTATTATTATTATTATTATTTCGATGTCGTGGAAATGGAGTCAGCTTGTAGTAAAAGGCGTAACAGACAGAAAGAAAAAAAGAACGTCTATTCTCTTCCTGACAACGCAAAGGCCGAATGAATCAGAGGCGGAGAATATATGAACATACGTACCAGATGATTACTTCACGAGTAAAGGCATTATACTAACGCCCACTTTCAATTTTTGCAATTCGCTTCATATACAAAGACTACGCAAAAGGTGCGAAACATATTCATATATACCAGCTCTAACAGCAAAATTGTCCAAATCGTGTAACAGCATAATTGTCCACCGGACAAAATATTTAATATCTAAAAAAAAAAAAAAACTTAAACTAATTTACTTTATTCTTACTAGGATTTCAGATAAGACATTTAACCATCTATCGTATGAATCACAGAAAAACCCTTTGAGTTATTCAGCTACAAAAAGAGATAGAGATTAAAATCATTTTGTGTAGACCCACTGTCTTCCCAAATGAGCAATGGTGAGAGGAAAAATATCATTCAGGCTATCAGTCATATTACGAACATTCATACCCTGACTTTCAACTACAAAGTTCATTCAAGATCCATCAAGAGAACGGTGAATAAGTTTAAAAAACAGAGAACAATAGAGAGGAAAACAGGATCAGGATGTCACAACAGAAGGAGGGATCGTCATTTCAACTTAGAACTAAAGAGATCGATTAGAAAAGATCCAACACAATCCATAAGACGTTTGACATATGAGAGAGGAGTTTCAGCTCTGATACGCCAAAGAACAGTGAAAAAAGCCTCGAAAATGAAATCGTACGTGAGGCAACTTGTTACTTCAGGACAGAAAGTTAGAAGGTTAGAAAGGGCGAAGATCATCTTGAATAAGCTGGGAAATGATCCTGGATAATATATATATATATATATATATATATATATATGTGTGTGTGTGTGTGTGTGTGTGTTTGTGTCTGTGTGTGTCTGTGTGCGTGCGTATGTGTGTGTGTATTTGAACTGTATTGCAATCCTTCATGAGCTCCCGATCCTTAGCTATGATTAATTAATGATAAACATGTCATTTTCGTTTATGATCGATTTCATCATGATTCTCCTGATTACTTTAGAAAGTAAACATACATTCTTATTGTTCAAAGTAGAGTCTAATAAGGTTATGAATTCCTCGCTAACAGATCTTAATGAAACATTAATCTACTATCAATTCCTTAAATAATAAGATCCTTATATTCGAGTGGTTGTAAGTAAACATATGCGAAGTACTTTTGACTGTTTCAAATTGTCATCTTCAGGGCGCAATAGTCAGACAACAACTCGAATATAAGGATCTTATTATTCAAGGAATTGATAGTAAGTTAATGTCTTATCAAGAGATTTCGCCATTAATATCATTAACATTGCTATTTATATCTTTGTATAAATTTTTCTTTAACATAATATATATATATGAGCTTCTATGTGTGCGTATGTGTGTCTGTTTAGTAACCTTCCTTTTGGACATATTTCATTGAATTTGATAGACAAATCTTAGAATTTTTTCTATTTACTTTTTCTTGTGCACTTAGAGTTTTCCTTTTGGCGACGATAAGAACGTGTAGAAACTGTCTACAGTGATGCCTGTCTCGGAAGATTTTAGATAATTCATTAGACATTTCCTTCGAGTTCGTTATCAACATGTTTTCATGTGTTTGTGCACTAATTTTCATCATGTAGAAGAAATTTTATATATATATAAATATATATATATATATATATATATATATGTGTGTGTGTGTGTGTGTGTGTGTGTGTAATTTTACGCGTCAACATTGAGTGGTTGATAATATGTGTAAGAAATCGTGTTTAAAAATTATATAGAAAATATGGAACAGAAGTATTTC